AAAAGTATAGAAAAGTTTTAAAACACTGCGGAAGAGAAAAACACAAGAACTATGATCTTTTCAAAAAGTCACAGTACAGTTTAAGTTCTATCAGTACTATTGCTACCTTTCGATTATATTTTATGAATTTGTTACACATTCTACATTAAATAAAACTGTACGATAAACTTAAAAGACAAAACTTTAGCACGAAAACTATGAAAAAAAAACCTAATTCAGCAACACTTTTTCAGCATTACTTCTGTATTGAGAAAAAATATATATAATCTTTCGTAAAAAATGATGTTTTCAGCTCATTTAGCTATAGGACCGAACCAAGCCGCAGAACTATCGGTTAACCGCTAGTGTAAGTGAAACCAATGTAAACTGGCGGCATCTTCAAAAACAATAACAACATATGTGATGAAATATCAATATTTGTCGATATTTTATTGAATAATCTAAATAAAACTTATTATTATTTATTGTTGTAGGAAGTTTTCAGGCAAAATTACAGTTTAGTAACATCCTCACGCTCATAGTGATTGCTGCGTTAAATGTATCAATCACGAGTGACCCTATCGTTTACTACAGAATCGACTAGCTTCATATTGATATGATAGCTTTTGATTTTTTCTTTCTCTCCTATTACCTTTAATGCATTTTTGTGTCTCGTGCATCGACGTGACTATCAAAACAATTGCTTTTCGATTACTCATGATTTTTATTATGTAACATTTTGATTTCATTTCATTTAGAATTAACAATGGCTACTTATACAACATCAGTTGATACGCAAGATCGATTACTCGAAAGTCCAATGCGCGAGACTTCAATTAATACTGTGAAAGTTAGTTTGTTATTTGTATGAATTTAAAAATCTTATTTTTTTTTTTTTTTTTTTTTTTTTTTTATTTTAGTCGATTCCGATTTCAACACGGTATGGTTATGTTTTAGTAACACAACAAGGTGCATCGGATCGTCCAGTAATCGTTACTTATCATGATGTTGGATATAACTGTATGTTATTATAGATTAAAATGATTATTTAAGACAAGTGTATTTTTGTTTTCTAGCTGCAACACAATTCCATCATTTTTTTGCTTTTCCTGAAATGATACCAATAACAGAACATTTTACAATATATCATATTAATGCACCAGGACAAGAAGATCGTGCCAATCCATTACCATCAACGTAAAAAGCTTGAACTCATTGTTTGATTTTTTTTTTCTATACATGATACGTGAATTTAGATCTGTTTATCCTACTATGGAACAATTAGCTGAAACGGTCAATGATGTATTCAATCATTTAGAGTACTGTTTTTTCTTGAAGATCATTTAATTTCATATATGAAACCTTTTAGTATTAAAACAGCAGTTGGATTTGGTGTTGGTGTTGGTGCAAATATTTTAACACGTTTTGCTGTTAGGATTTATTTTAAAATAAAATCATTTTGTTTTTAATTTAATTGTTTTTTAGTTGAAATATTCAACAAAAATCTATGGTCTTATTTTGGTTAATTGTATTTCACGTGGAATTGGATGGTTTGAAGGTTTTACTCTTAAAGTATTTAGGTTTTTAATAATTAATAATTCGATATAACTTTAATTTTTATAGTGGCCAACACAAGATATGCCTCAACAAGCATGGACTGATGCACTTTTAACATATCTTATTTGGTATCATTTAGGTTATGTAAGTATATAATGTAGTTATTCGTTTGTCTAAATATGATATATTATGAAATACAGGAGAGTCAATCAGCACATCCAGATTTAGTACAAGGACTTCGACGTCATTTGGAAGAAAATGTTAATGCTAAAAATGTTGTCAAACTTCTTAATTCATTTTTAAAGTAAACTAATAAAAGATTTTAATTGTTTTGATTATATAAATTATTTTGTTTTTCTCATTAGACGTACACCTATTCTAATGGAACGACCGAATGAATTGAATAAAAATGCTAATCCACCTATAAGTCTTAAGTATGCAAAAAACAAAAAATTTTTTTTCACAAGAAGATTTTATAATTTCTCTTGTAGATGCAATATTATTAATATGACTGGATTTTCATCACCACATAAAGATGATGTTATTGATACGAATGATAAATGTGATCCAGCCAAGTCTTCCTATGTTGAATTTGCTGATTGTGGTGGTGCTCTTCTTGAAGAACAACCAGCAAAAACAGCTGAAGCTATTCGACTTTTTCTTCAAGGTCTTGGATATAGTAAGTCACAAAAGTTTGTTTTTTTTCTTAAAGTTTTTTTTTTTCTTCTAATCTTTGTTTAGTATCACATTTGAGTATTCCAAAATTTTCAATTGCAAATCGTTTAACTGAACAAGCAGCAGAATATAAACGTCGTAATGGTCCATCATCGCGTGCACCGCGTCGTTCTAGTGCACCATTTGATTCAGTTGATTCTGGTCTTTATCGTAGTGATTCACAAGGCGATGATTTAGATGATGATCCAAATTATTATGGTCATGAGCTTCAACTTCGTGTTGATTCATTTGATGATCGAAATGTTAAATTATAAAGAAAAACAAAAGCATAATATTATACTTCTAGCATTCTCGTTTAATCTTATTCCTGTAACAGTGATCTTCATGTTAGTCGCTTCTTAAAATGATAGTTCCCAAGATTTTAATCTGCATATATGTTCTTAAAGAAAAAATTTGTATAAAAAATGTAATCAAAAGATCTTTCTATATTATCATCTCTTTTTTTTCTCTAAATCAGTGCAAAGAATATTATTTCATTTTTTTTTTTAGTTTGAAAATAAAGAATGTATTTTCATCAACATGATGAAATCCAATCAAATAGAAAAAAAACAATTTTTTTCAAAAGATATAATGAGAAAAACATTATAGACGAAAATGATATATTTTATTGAAGGATATATTCAACGAGTTAAAGTAATTAGTTGATACAAAAGAATGAGCCTTTCTTGTAGTTGGATGTGGTAATGAAAATAAAATTTCGATGTCATTGATGGATATGATAGATGAGTATGCTTGAGTAGTCTTTTTCTTATTGAATGAATATTAAACGTATAAAAATAACTGCCAACCTTGAATCATGTCACATTTCAAATGTGATTCAAAGTTAACAGCTAGAATTGTATAAATTCCAGCTTCATGCATTTTATTTCAAATCGTATTTTCTTCTTTGAAAAAATGTTTTTCATGTATATTGTGTAATGACTGTTTATCTTTTTGTAGCATTCATATTGAGTCTTCCTCTTCTTGTAAAGAAACGTAGAAACATTCATACGACAACATCACGGATCTGTAGAACACACAAGTAACTTACTTGATCGTGACCTAACGAAGATCTGATCTCGTAGCGAAACTCTTTGTG